GTGTGTGTGTTAAAGTGATGGTAACAGTATCATTGCTTTTTGAGTTGATGTCCAGAACTTCACAGAGATTTTCTTTTTTCTTTTTTGAATTTTTCTCCAAATGCAGCCTGCATTGCAATATGTGCACACTAAAAATGTGCTCGATTAATGTTTTTCTTTAAATTTTTAAGACGGTCCCCTCTGCTCAGCTGTGTATTAGACAGATGCAGTGGGCAGGTGTGGCAGGAGATCCGCCAGCTGTGATGAATGATTTTGTTGACAAATTAAAATGTGTTTTTAAGTCGATGTTAAAGTATCACATCGACATTCAAGATAACTGCAATAAAAAAGTTAATAAATAAGAAAAAAGAAAGTAATAAAATACTTTTTTGTTTTGTCATGCAGCTCTGGAGCCACAKGTTGCCGACCTTTGTTATATTAAAAAAAAAAAACCTCCCTGCAAAACTGAATTTTGTTGTCTGATTACTGAGATGCATCAGGACATTTGTTGTGTGTGGTTTACCTCCATCAGTGACACACACTCAATCCTCATTTCAATAGTGGTGGTCCAGACAACCGCTCTGCACCTGATGTTATTTGTACATGCAGTTTTATTAAATTGCACGCTACACGCCCACTTTTACCCCTGACTGTTCTTTAATTTGYGCAGGTATTTAATATTTATCTGCCATCTTGATAAATCAGCTTCTATGTTTTTATATCATTAGTGTTTTATAAAAGCTCAACTTTATGATTTTTATGGGTTTTTAATTTTTTTTTTTTTTTCAGGTCTCCTCAGTCTTTACTCCAGGAAACTTTCATGGTTTCGCTTTGGTGAACCGCCAGAGAAACAGTCGCATTACTACTGGTTTCACTGTTGAAGTTTCCACTGAAGGCACTCAGCTGTCCTTCAGCAACTTCAACCACTTGGAGCAGGGCCCCCACTACTGGCAGCTTCCAGGGGCTTACCAGGGAGACAAGGTCAGTATTCAAAAGGAAACTGCAGCAGTGAGATCAGCGGGAGTAGCCAAAGTAAAGTTGTGGTGTCATTGAGAGCCAAGCAGCACATCAGAAACTTGTAGACCACTCATTGTCTGTTGCTTTCTTTGTCTTGCTACATTTTCTTACCTTATACTTCTCATGTAAACTCATACAAACACTTTTTAAATTTATGCACTGTGACAGCTTTCTTTCAGTTCATAGACTATAATGTTTGTTATGGTTTGTCTGGGTTCTTGTGTTATTTTGGTTCTAGTCTGGTTTTCTGTCTTGTCTGTTTACCCCCTCCTGCCTGTCTTTGCTCCAGCCCCGCCCACTCTCACCTGTTCCTCATGTTTCTCTCCCAGGTGTTTCTTGTTTCTGCTCGTCAGTTCCCCTTTATATTCTGTTCTCTGTCTTCAGTCTGTGTCAGGTCTTTGTTTATTGTTAACTGTTGGTGTCATCTCATGCTTTGCTGCCACGCCAGCCTTTGTTTTTTATTTATTTATTTTTCTTTAATAAACCTTTTTGCCACCACCAGCACTCAGTCCTGCATCCTGGGGTTCAAACCAACCAAGCAATTCATAACAGTGTTCTGATTTGATGGCTCAATGTTGTTTGCCTAACGTAGCTGCATTTGCTTCATTTTATTATTTACAAGACAACTGAGGTGTGTTCTGGCTAGGGCAGCCACGATTAGTTGACGACTAATTGATTATTAAAATAATCGATGACTAATTTAATAATCGATTAATCGTTTTCTTTTTTTT